AGGAGAGCGGGTGGGGGGAGGGGGTTCGGGGGGAGGGGGTTATGCGTGTGTGTATGTGTATATGCATGTGTGAAGGGCGGGAATATGCAAGGTAAGGAAAACAACTAGGGGGTGTTGGAGGGTGATTGGGGGGTCAGGGTAGAACGGGGAGGAACATGCGCAAGCGCGGTCTCTCCCGTCCTCCTCCTCCTCCCCCTCTTCTTCCTCCTCCTCCTCCTCCTCGCCCTCTTCTCCCTAGCATTACCCCCAAACCCACTTCCCCCCACCTTCCCCCCCACCCAAGCACACACCTGGTGGCACGCGTGTATGAGGTGGTTGTACGTCGCTATGGAGGCGGGTACGGCCTCGTGTGCCGACCTGCCCGACACGAGGTGCTCGAAAATGTGCAGGGCGTGGTCCAACGCGCGACCCACAACACACGCCTGCGGGAGTTGGAGGGGTGGAGAAGGGTGGGAGGAGTGGGAGGAGCGGGAAGGGAGAGTCGGGTGGGGGAAATCACATGCAAGAAGCAATGTGTGTGGAGTGGCAAGTACTCGCCCATTTCCCTCCACACACACAATCCCTTCCCCCCCCCCAAAAATACCCGTCGGGCTGTTTTTTATACAGGTTTCGCAAAATTCCCCCGCCGTACACTCCCGTCGTACTTGTATAAGTGCCGTATGTGTCTCCAGGGAGGGCGGTACGTCGTCCTCTTGCATCCTGGCGTACAGCGCCTGCGCCTCCCGCCACCGCCCCGCCCGCCCCGCCGCCGCCAGCAGCCCGTTGTACATTCGAGTGCAGTCCGACAGGTGCACCTCCGACAGCGCGGAGAAGACCTCCAAGGCCGCCTCGAAGGAGGGGGACCGTTGCATGGCCGCCTCGCAAACCTGCGAGGGGTTGTGTGTGTGTGTGTATGTGCGTGCGTATGTGTGTGTGTGTGTTTGTGTTTGTGTGTGTTAAAATCTGAGCCGCGATACGGGAAAAGGCTGGTAGTGCGTGTACGTGTGTGTGTGTGTGGCGCAGGGGGGTTTCGTGTGGGGTTTCGCGGGCGGGGGCGTGTACGGCGAGTACGGAAGTGGTGCATCATCATCATCATTATGGAATTACAGGGAAAATATTATAAAAAGGGGGAATTCTTTGGGTTTTTGCAGTACACAGTTGCAACTCACACCCTTCCGCCATCTCCCCCTGTTTCGCCCCCATCGTGTCGTACCTGCAACAGCGCTTCAATGACCTCCTCATTTGCCGTACGACCACCCGCCTCCAGCTCCTGATGGGTTTGTAATGTGGCAGATGGAAGCAAATAATGGCCTGAAACACGGTTTACCAGTAAAACCCGTCTACACCTTCCCCTCCCTCTCCCCTTTACACCGGGCGGGGGCCCCCGCGATGTGCTGTCAATTTATCCAAACCCACACCCTCTCCCCTCCCCCCCGTCCAGCAGCTTCACTCGTTCGTCTCCCCCCCTCCCGCGCACCTGCACCGCGGCAATGGCCTCTCTGTAGGCGCCCCTTCGCTTGTGGTTGCAGGCCTAGGAACGAGTTGAGGCGGGGGGCCGGGGGGGCGGGGGTGCTCAGAGGAAGCAGGTGCTGGGGGGGGGAGCGGGGGGACTCAGCAGGGGGGTGCAAGAAGGGAGAAAGGGGGAAACCTTGCAGAGATAAATCACGCACACGCAAATGTGTACGACATATATTTCCACTCGACATCTTTAGATTGTGATACGCTCGGACATAAATAAGTGTTCAGGCGTAAAATCATTTGGTCGTAGGGAGCTTCTTCCTTCGCACACGCACACACACACACGCAGGGGGGCTTCTCCTCACCTTCGCTTCGCTCCTTCGTCCCTGGCCTTTGCTCTGGGAAGGGGCCGGTCGCACGAAACCCCGCCCCTCTCCCTCCCGTTCCCCCCTTCATACAACACACAAACAAACACACAGACACACAAACCCACACCCTCCCCTGCCCGTCTCTTCTCCCCTCCCTCCCTCCCCCCCCCAACACACACACACCGAGCATCCGCTTATCGCTGATACTTTCTTCAATCGTCTGTGGTCCGTCGTACAAAAAACCCTGGTTCGTCGTAAAACCCCTCCCTCCCTCCCCCCCCCCCACACACACGCACACCTGCAACACCATGAGCACCGAATAGCTGTTGGGCCTTATCCCCAGTTGGGCCCGCATCTCCCCCAACATCTCCACGGCGGCTGCCAACCTGCCCCGGCTGCACAGACCCGTGAGGACCAGGTTGGCAGTACCCAGATCGGGATGTAGACCCAGACACCGCATTCTGCCGTACTGTTCCAAACACCGCTGGTCCTTTAAGGGGGGAAAGAGGGGGGAAAGAGGAGGAACCAAGGGGTGAGGGGGGCCCCGGCCAAAGGTTAAGGGGGGTTGGTGGGAAGTTGTGAATACAGGGAGGAATGGCGCGAGATGCATACATACATACATACAATGACGGACATGATTGTCCCATCGCTCCTCGTTCCTCTCCCACTCAACACCCCTAACCTACCCCCATACGCCACAAAACACACACACACACACACCGACCACCCCCTGACGTAATCCGAGTGCGGGACTACCTGATGCTCCGTAGCGCACACAAGGAGGACCGCATCGAACATGGCCTTAGAGGGGGCGGGTGACCCGCGGGTCACTGCCAGGTCCAGAGCCGCCAGAGCCACCTCGGAACAGCCCTGCCTCCCGAGCTCCTTGATCAGCGCCACCACGCTCGCCTCGTCCTCCAGCGCCTCATCGCTAAGTACGGCCGCCACCGCCTCGCTCCAGGGGAAGGCGCGGAACCTCCGGCCGTAGCGATCCCTGGAGCGGTGCTCCGCCTCACGAACCCGGTGGTACTCCTGCGTGCGAGTGTGTGTGTGTGTGTCGGTATGCATGTCGGTATATTTGTCGGTATATGTGTCTCGGAGGAGGGAGGTATGTGAGTATGTATGTTAGTGATGACGGGGTTTCGCAAGGACCACAAGTGCGAGGTCCTGTTTGTGTTTCTGTATGTCTGTCTGTCGTTAGGTGTGTTTGTCTGTCTGTATGTGTATGTGTTCCCCCGGCTTGGGTCCCCTCCCTCCCTCCCTCCCTAGACTAAAGCCCCCTGACGTCGTGGTGGTTTTGGGGGGGGCCCTGGTAGAGGGGGTTGTACGTAGCCATGGTTAAGGGGCCAACCACCCAAAGCCCCGTACAAACCGACAGACTACCTAAACGTCGCACCATCATTAGCACATTGCCAGCCCCCCTCTCCCCACAGCAATATTTCCAACGACAAGCGACGTGCCGCATCCGACGACCTATTGCCTGCCCCATCTTACATCCCCACCCCGCCTCCGTGTGTGTATCGTGCAAACCGAAAGCATCCCGGGGGAGGGGAGGGGATTGGTGATCTGGGTCGCTGTCGATTTCCCTCCCAACCAGGTTTCTCCTAATCCGGGCCGCGGCCGGGCAGCACTACTGTGCCTTAACTGTAACTTAAATTTCTCGTTTTTTGCACATTGGAGATGGGGAGTAGGAGAAGGAGCGCGTGCAGGAGGAGGGGATTTCCTAGGCGGTCAGGATTGCGTATGCAGGTGCTGTTTTTCGCGCCAGCGGTCCCCAGGGGCCAGGTCTGTGTGGCTGTTTTCGTGCATACCGTTGACCCCTCCAGGTAACTCACGACAGTGCGACGTGCTAAGTCCTCCGCTCGGAAGTAGATGGCTGCCATTCCACGTCCAGTTGGCTCTGCAGGGTCCATGTGCGTCGGGCGCGGCTAATGCACCGCCAGCGCTCAATTAGCAGCGTTCGACGCATGTCCACGTATTTGCAGAGCAATCTTTTCTATCCATTCAGTTTGTCATACGGCTGGGCCTTTGCGTTTGTGACCTGAACGCTAGGATTGCGGATGTCCTCCACAAAAAAACGTATAAGGCAGTTTTTGAAGCTTAATGAGTGTGTCTCAGTGTCTTATTGTCTGTCGTGAATTTTTTGTGAGAAAAGCTCATGGCCTTCCATAAAACGTTCTATCAGCCCGAGCTTGCGGCGCGCTTTGCGCGTTATGTTGGTTTGACTTAGCAAGAAGGTCGCAGGCTAGGTTACCCTTCTAAATGGGAACACAAAAAACAGCATCACAGGGCATTGGCGTGTCTTTCGAAGACGCACGTCCGTACGGTATCGCAGAATGGGCAAAGCCTTTGTAGTATTAAGACGGCGCAGATGAACCTCTGTGTTTCCTGAGCTTGCCTGTGAAGTATAACGGCCATCGTCTTCTGCAACTGGAGCCAGGGTTCCTCTGTTCGACGTCTGCTACGTCTTCCAACGTATTTACAACTTTGCATTCCGCTACAGCGGATTGATTGTATGCCGAGCGATCCTTTTCTGACATATAACTTAATCCAAATCAGGCCGAGCGCACATGCATCTCTGCTTGTGTGTGCAGGGGGCCGCGGGCTCGGAGTCTGGCCGCGTAAACGAAACCTGTGAAGCCTGTACCAAAAGCATTTCCATGAAACGCTGTTATGGTCTTGATCTATGCTTATGAGTATCCCATGTTGGTTTGAAACCCTCTCAGTCAGGTGCCGAGGCAAGTGGATGTGTGGCACCATCGCATTTGCGTCTCATGACTCGTGTGCTCTTGGTGATGGGATAGTGGTAGCCTTAACCTAACTCAGATCAGCAACTTTGGCTCATTTGGTTGGCCACACGTCTCTTAGTGCACTGACGTGCTCCCCGTTCCCAACACCAGCGGTTGGCACAATCCTTTGATCCTCTGTCACGTGTCCAGTCAACGCAAGCTTGTCCGCGCGGGGGAAATGAGGGCTTAAGGGAGGCTCTCCTTCCCTGGATCGCTCTTCCTGTCCTCCATAGTATCGTGCAAATTGTATGAGCGTACTAACTGAGGTTTTGTGTCCAGTGAAGTTAGTACGGCCTGGCCGAGTTCTTTTTGAGTAAGGCCCACAGTGTTGCGCGGGAGGCGTTCCTAGGGGCCTAGGGGCGCTGCACTCGACCCGTTCGGGGTCCGCTGTAACAAATCGCATTTTGTAACCACCTCCTAGGCGTTACTGAGGACAGGGAGCTTCGGGCTTAGGAATCTGCGGGTCTGTAAGAGTACTGCCCACTAAATAAAAGCGTTGCCGCAGGACCCTTCCTTCCGCGGATATATAACGGAGTACATGGGACTCTACTGCAGTGCACGGCCAGCTGGCCCGATGGCTCTACTTTTCGGGAGTCTGGAGCCCACTGTAACAACCACGCACACACACACACACACACATGGGACGCATCATTGAGCCAATACAAGTATGACCTGGACACACGGCCTGTATGTGTGTGAGCTCGTGTGTGCTTGCGAGTGGCAAAATGAGGACCTGGGGGAATACGCTGCTCCGCCGTCTCGGCCTAGTAGGTGTTGTATAGGGGGCTTATCCCCATTGGGACATACAGGGACCCGCAGTGTGACCCCTGGGTCATTTGGCCAACCTGACAACATGAGAACGGGAGTGAGAGCTGTTAGTGGGGCCCTCCTGCCAGCGCCTGTTAGGCTCCGCCCCCACTGCTCTTCTGTCCGCTTCAGTAAGTGTTACTTGCCATTTGAGGTGACAGTGTCAAGTTCTCTGCGGGACGAACCTGCTGTTAGGCTGTATCTACGATGTGGGTCCGATGTGGGTCCGATCTATGGGTTGTTGCGGTTGCGTTCGAAGCGGTGTGTGCTGGCGGCAAAACGAAATTGTAGGGGGTGTCATTGTGGGCCTGGCAGGCAGGCAGGGTTAGGGATGGACGATCTAGCATGTCGGGTAGCCTCAGCCTGTGGGGTAGGCTTTTCGACCCGAGGGGCCAGGCAGGCAGGCGGAAGGGCTGGCAGCGGCCGGGGAAGGAGGGATGTGTGGGTGGGTGCAGCGGCATGGCCTGGGGGACGCCGACGGCCCGATAGAGGTGATGAGGACGACGCCGGGCCTGTGACATGCGCATGACGATGAGCCATGGGACGCTCTTGTGGTTTTGTGTGGGTTGCCCTGCGGCTTCTCCGGCGGCGTGGAGGATTGTATGATCGGCGGTGCAGGGTGCCCACAAGTAAATTCACGTGCTCCCCGCTCCCCGCATTCCTTGCGAATGCCAGTGGATGCCATAAACTATTGGCTCAGCTGCTGCCCCAAAAAATGCAAGTGCGATACGCTCTTACGCTTAAACGCCATAATAGTACACATCCTTTTCATCAAAGTGGACGAGCAAAGGCAGCTCTTCAGTATGTGCGTGTCGAGGATCGTAGGTATTGCGCGACAGCTCCTGCAACGGCAGGGCAGGCATTATAAAGATCAAACAATGGCAGCCCAAACTTCACAATCCATCCCATTACTGTCAGTTGGTGGAGCAAGTTAAAAGCAGTACTATGGTGGTACGGCACGCTGCGTGTCCATCTCGAGACGAGGAAAGCATGCGTTTCTAAAGGTTAGCCCATGCAGCAGGCTCCTTGGCTATACCTATCCAATCCATATGACAAATTTTGCGAGATCACGTTACAGGTAACTGTTCAAATTTGAGACGTGTAACTGCAGCATGCAGGGGCCGGGCGCGTCAGGAAGCACCAGGAGTAAATTGTATCCTGACGAGGGATGATCCTCTAAGATGCTGGAAGAGGAGGGGATCTTTTGCAAGCTAGTTCAGTTTATCATTATGTCTGCGCTGTGTGAGCAATCGTCAGAAGGCCACATGAAGGCGCTTGCCCTGTATGCTGCTAGCATTGCCAGATTCAAATATATACGCGAGGGCTTGAAAACTCATTATCAAGATGATTAAGCCAGCAGTAACGTCACATCCGCAATTTGCCAAGGGATTGCATCAGCCTTATCATTCGTAAGCTCCTATTTACGAAGCATCATCAAAGCACACAAAAGCACACGAAAGAGAGTTTCGTAGCAATTCGGTGGCCGTCAAGCGCAGTCACTGCAAATGCCCAGAGATGCCGACCGAGAGAATAGAAATTGCAGGTTAACGATGGAAATCGTAAACATCCGGCATCCTTTTCAACAATATCTGAGGTTATTAAGGCATCCAACTTCGATGGTCCGAAGATACCATTCCGGGAAAGATCATTCCTCCTAATGCAAGCAGCAGAGGACACTCAATACCCGTTTCAATATACACTATCAACACACATTATTTCAGCCAAGGAGTATAAAAATTTAATGTCGTAGCTCGTAGATGGACCACACCAACTTTAGGCCCCGGCTCCAGAGCCGAAATCTCCATCTCGTACGGCATCGCTTTGCCTCTTCCATATTAACGCCCGGAATTACCTTCATCATCAGTTCCCACTTCCAGCTTGTGAGAACCCACTAGTGATAAAATGGCCTTCACCCTCGCTAAGTCTGCTGCTAAGGCCGCTGTGTCGCGCCGCACGACCGTCAAGGTCGAGGCGCGCCGCACTGTGAAGCCGGCTGCCAAGTCGTCTACCCCGGACAGGTGTGACAGGCAACATAAGATATTGTTTGCAGTTACGCGCTGTCGGACTTGCTTCTTACTGCCCTGGTCAAGTCGATGCTGACCTATGACTTATCGGCACCCGTTCTACAGCTTCTGGTATGGTCCGGACCGCCCGCTGTTCCTGGGCGCTTTCACTGGCGAGCCCCCGAGCTACCTGACCGGCGAGTTCCCCGGTAAGTTAACTTCCCGACATCTGCTTGGCATCTTGTTTCCGTGAGCGAGGACGCGCATGGGATGATCGCGATCTTCATACCCTTCAATAGTAAAGACGTCATGCTTGGATGTGAGGTCTAAGTCTTTGTTTTTGCTTGCTGCTTTCAAAGATTTGCTATCTGGCCGTTGTCAACCTGTTTTCGAGTCTACATGCAAATGCTTGTTCCTTCGGACACCTATAATTTCTTACATTTTATCCTTGCAGGTGACTATGGCTGGGACACTGCTGGTCTGTCGGCCGACCCCGAGACCTTCAAGCGCTACCGCGAGCTGGAGCTGATCCACGCTCGTTGGGCCATGCTTGGCGCTCTGGGCTGCATCTTCCCTGAGCTCCTGGGCTCTTACGGTGTGCCTTTCGGCGAGTCTGTGTGGTTCAAGGCTGGTGCTCAGATCTTCCAGGAGGGCGGCCTGGACTACCTGGGCAACCCATCGCTGGTGCACGCTCAGTCCATCCTGGCCATCCTGGGCACCCAGGTCATCCTGATGGGCGCTATTGAGGGCTACCGCGTCAACGGCGGCCCCTTGGGCGAGGGCCTGGTAAGAAATGAATGAAGCAAACCGTTAGCGGGTTTATGTGACTTTTGTGACGTGGTGTTTGACGTGCCTCTTCTGCTCTGCGATTGGAAATTGAAGAGGGCGATGTGCCACTTTTCCCACAGGACAAGCTGTACCCCGGCGGCTCCTTCGACCCCCTCGGCCTGGCTGACGACCCGGACACCTTCGCTGAGCTTAAGGTTAAGGAGATCAAGAACGGCCGCCTGGCTATGTTCTCGATGTTTGGCTTCTTCGTCCAGGCTATCGTGACCGGCAAGGGCCCTCTCCAGAACCTGTCTGACCACCTGGCCAACCCCGGCGTGAACAACGCCTTCGCGGTAGGTTGGCAAGGGTGAAGTGGTTTCCGACAATTTTGTAGCTTTTCCAAGAAAATTTCCCTGACGCATAACGTATCTCTTTTCCCTTGCAGTACGCCACCAAGTTCACCCCATCGGCGTAAATTCCTGGTGGAGTCATTGTGTTGGAGCCATTGGAGCTCTGCAAGAGTGGCATTATCAAGAACGTTCACGCGCGGAAGGGATATTTAGTGGCTGTCTGAGCGTAGAGTGATACCCACATCTTGGGTTTGTAACATAAATCTGATGTGATCCGATGTATCTTATCTATCTGTTCATTTGCTTGGACAATTTTCGGCATTATTAGGCAGATGGACTGTGATAATGTAGAGCAGCCGAGAAATATGCACTGAAAGCAGGAAGCTAAACACGAAAACAATGTATGCGGGCTCGAGCAACCCTAAGTAAGGTCAAAGAGACTGCTTCCTACTCGGCTGAGATGACTTACGCCCAGCATTTAGATAAATCGGTAATGTCATGATAATAGCCTAAAAGCGACCGAGAAGTTAGCAAGCAAACTCAGATGTGAACGTGAGGGTGTGAATGATAATACAGATATCCATATATATGGATATCTTCGAAAACAAGTACATTTGTTTAAGTACATTTGCTTAAGGTACAGGTGTAGCAGTATAAATGTTATAACGCCTGTGAAATGTATTATCGCTTCGTAAATCATCATTTCGCACTGCAACATAGCATCACACAGGGCAACAATCTACGCGATCATTCAAACGCTGGGCGCTATGATCATTGCTGCTCCGAAACATGTACTACGGATGCCATGTCATGCCCGGCGCTCTACTTTATACGGCAAAAAGGCATCGACGTGTTCGACGGGTCAAAGCTTTTCACGTCCACGAGCACTGCTTTAATACCAGTGTAATACTTAACTGAGTTGTCGCAATTTGCCGACATGAGTGCCATGTTGTCGACGTCGACGCGTGCGGCCTCTGGCCTCCGTACTGGTACGTTGAGGTGTCTACAATGTGTGGTTGCGGGTGCGGTTGCTCAGAACCATCTGGGAAAAGCTCCCTTGGAGTAGGGCTCCTAGAACTTCGGTATCAGTCGCTTTTCCACCTGTATTAGAACTCGCGACTGTGATTGTGGCGTCCTTTATGCTGAACACATTTGAATAATGTTCTGCAGGTCACACGGAGCGCGCTTGCGTGCCGATCATGGCCGTTGCCTTGCCGCGCAAGGTAATGTCGGCCCGGCGCGTTGCTCGGACGGAGAAGGCTACTCTTGCATCGATGCCAGTGACAGCAGATGCTGTTGTTGCACCCCCGAAAATCGTCCACACAATCACTGCGGAGCAGTACCATGACTTCCTAGCAGAGCATTCCGACAAGCTCGTCACCATGGACTTCTACGCAGTATGGTAGGTGACTGTCACTTCGGTGCAAAAGCTATATTGTTGCTATTTTATGCTCTGGCAAGTTGCTTGCCTGATATCAGCTTTTCGTGCGTTGTGTTGTGTGCGTTTCTGTGCCTCAATGACAAACTCAGGCTTGCGCGCGCTCATGGTCCGTTGCAGGTGCGGTCCATGCAAGATGATAGCGCCCGAGCTGGAGCGAATGGCAGCGGAAAGCGACCCCTCTAAGCTGGTGTTTGCCAAGCTTGATTGCGGTAAGTGCAATCTGACAGTAGTAGCCAGGGTCTTGGGGGCAGGATGAATTGTTAACAGCAGAAACCCTTCAGCACCTCTTCGTGATCCATAAAGGCGCCGACATAGAACGTTCCGGAAAAGATCGTAAGACGGACACACACACACATACATACATACATTCCTGTGTAACGCACAAGGGGTGGGGTTTGCTTAGAAGTGCGTGAGGGGAAATACCCGCCTGATCCTCATGTCAGTGTATATGTGTATGTGTGTCTGTTACAGATCGATCAGGGCCAGCTGGCCAGCTGCACCTAACCGTTACCCCAATGGAAACGCCCGCCGCAACACTCTCCCCCTAACGGCGGGGGGAGAGGGGCGGGAGGGGGCCCCACAGCCCCCTACCAGTACTGCTCGACCGAGGGCGTTCGACCCTATGCCTCTACCTCATATGTGTGTGTGTGTGTGTTGCAGTGCGTGTGTGTTGAAGTGTGTCTCATGCGACATAACCACCGTCCACCTCACCTTCCCTCCAACTACTACCTCCTCCCAAGAACATCAGCCGGAAGTCCCCCCCCGGGGATATGACGAACCCACTCTGCTTGTGGCGTGCTGGTCCCCCCTTCAGGCGCCACGAACGAGTCGAAGAAGCTGGCCATGTCATTGGGGATCAAGGCCCTGCCGACCTTCCACTTGTACAAGAACTCAAAAATAGTAGATACGATGACCGGTGCTAAGGTGAGCGTGAAGCAGGTGTGGAGGTGTGGTATCTCACATCCCCCCCCGCGCGCTGCAGACTGTCTTTTTGGAGCCCTGGGTACCTCCTGGATAACCTGGATGGTTATGACATTTGTGCATTCTTGCCGGGTATTCGGGTTTGTCGGTAGCGACTTGTCGGTAGCGGAGGTGCGAGTGCCCAGCGGGAATAGCAGCTAGGGTAGTATTTATTATACCCTAACGCGCTCCTTACCCCCTGTTACTCGGCGTTGCTGTTGCAGGTCAAGAGCCTGGCGGACCTCATCAATAAGCATTTGTAGGGGGTATCAGGAGAAGAAGAAGAAGAAGAGTGAAATGTGTATTAAAGTATATCACCGGGATTTTGTCAATTATGGGGATCAGAAACGCCTGATGCCTGAAAAGCGAGACACACAAGAGCCGCAAGTGGCAGCGCCATTGTGTGGAGATGGTTTGATTTTGTCATGATCGTGGTTGAGCTCCCATGTCCCTGGGGCCTTTTTGATAATCAACCTAGCTTAATCATCGGACGACGACGGCATGTATATAGTAATGCTGTCAAGCACCCGGCGGTAGATGTCCCAGCGGAGGAGTATGGTTCAAGGGGCGACCACAGCCGACTGACCCTTTGTACGGCGGTTGGTTGCCGGATCGCTTTCTGTTTCACGGACGTTGTAGGTAAGCCTGTTTTAATCCTGTAGGAGTGATAAGGACATGTACGGCATCTGTCTTTGCTTGGCATCTCAGTCTTTTGTACATTTAATAGCGACACAAAGCTAGTCTGCGACATCTAAGAGGTACCGAACGTAGTGGTTCGGAGCGAATGCGTGTCTATTTTATGTATGTACGATATGTGATGTCACGTCCTTGAAAGGGTGTTGAGGAGGGCGGATCTATCCGTGCCGTGCTTGCCGTGACGGGATGTTGCCTGAGCAGGACATGCCCTCGTCAGTGTGTGTGTTATCAGCATGTTGCGTTTGGTCACCTCTACAGTGGCGTCACTCGCGGGGTTTTTTATTGCGTGTTTGAATCGCGTACTGCATCATTGTCATCGGCATGTCTGGTGTTGCGAATTCAGCTGGTGTGCGAGTTCAGCTCCGCATTGCAGCTCGCCTGCCGCTGCCGTTGCTGCTGTTGCTGTTCCCGCACTTCTTTGTGGGTGCTGTTGCTGCTGTTGCTCTGTGTGTGTGTGTTTTATGGTTGCGAAAGAGGGAAATGTTTTCTTCCTGAATGCGGCGTGCATGGATGATGTTCTAGGGATGTTGTTCTAGGGACCAGCGTTGCAGGTGACGTTGTCGATAGCTTCGCGGACAAACCCCCCATGCGTGGATTTACATACACGCATACATGCGTGTGCTGCTGTTTCGAGGGAGCGGGTGTTGATCGGTTTTGAGGCGGGAAGAAGAGGAAGAGAGAAAGTGATGGAGGGGGATATGCGCACCGTCACCACACTGCACCGCACGCCATTACTTGTGGCCGTTGTCTGTCGGCCGCTTGACCCCCGGAGGAGTCCATCAAGCGGGGAAGTGCCCGGAGCGCTTTCCCAAAATGTTAGGTGTCGCAAAAGGCCTTCCATATGTTGTGGAATTGCGTTCTAGCTTGATGGCTGATCTTTTTGCGTTAAAGAGTCCCCCCTCCTCCTGTTGTGAGGGGGCTTTTCCGTACCCCGCCATTCTTTGGCTGGTTAAAGGTGTGAGAGATGGTGATGCGGTGATATGTGTCGTACCGCGTGACGAATGATACAGTGATGCAGCTCTTGGGAGCCATCGTCGCATTCGGAAAATGCGGGCAAGCGAGCCGTCGCTATAGCGCCAGTACATAAGCCCTTGCCAGGTCTTCCAGTCTGCGTGCGGCGGCAAGCTAGGCGTGGAGCTGGAACAGCAAAACCTCCTCTGTCTCAAATGCTAAATGCTAATGAGGTGATTACCACTCCCCCTTGCTGCCCAGACTCTGGCCCTTGTAACATTTCTATTTGCATGGCACCTTTCCAGCCTCAGATACTTATGGGCGCCCATCCATCCCGCTTGTGTTTGGGGCAGAGTTTCAAAGGAATGCGGCGACAACGACAATAGCGCATTATAACAGTAATGTAACCAAATAAAGATATTCAGATAAGAGCTGCATCGCTGCACAATGCAAAACGACCTGATCCTCGCGCGACATGGACACACAAACACACAAACACAAATGGCCCCACCCCCACAGCAGATGACTTCCGTGGAGGTGTCCGCAAAGTGTTCGTGTGAAGACAAGAAATGCCACAACATGACAAACGATCAGCTAACGTGAAAAGAGGGAGCGAGAGAGAAGAGGGGTGGATTACGCCTCATGCGACGTCAGCGCTCTCCCGCCAGCTGCATCCCCGTTGTGTCCCCGTTTCTCGCGATTGGTCTAAAAGTACTTTTGGCACCAGCATGTATGGCAAAGAATATGACTAGACATGCATGATTGAGAAAAACAATATTATGCTGTGGCGGCACTGAGAAATGCTGTAGTCCTCCTTCTCCCTCCCCTGGCAGCCATCCATCCCATTTGCGACGCTTTAAATTGCGGCTCATCCAAAGTTTAACGGCTAACAGCATATGCGCAGGCTGCTGCTGGTGCTTACGAATTACTGGCCTGACTATGGAGGCATGCCCGCGTACGTCAGGTACGGCATGCTCGTACATCTCGCCACTACAACAGTTAAGATCGGGCCAAAGCCAGGTGCTCATGCCAAATGTGCTTTATTGTCGTCCACTTGTGCGATCGTCATGTATTTGAGTGATGTCACACCGTAACATGTAGACGACAGCTCGCAGCGACGTACTCAAACAAGCGGTTTCGCAATGCGGGTTTGGCCTTTTGATTGTTGTTGCTGCCGTAATGCATGAAGCATTTTCTCATTGCCGTACATTTGGCAGGTGGCGATACGGCATCCTGGATCGAACGCGTCACGATTACCGGTAAGATATAACGGAGTTTTGGTTTGCATGGGTGTGTCTGTGCATGTATGTATGTATGTATGACGTTGATTACACTGTGGGCTGAAAAGCCGGGGGCCCAGGGCCGAAGCACAGCGCGGGGGGCGGGTGCATACGGCTGGTTAGTCTCATGCACTCCGCCCCCGGGTCAGGCCGCACGGGAAACGACGGCCGGCACGCAACAGCGCTTGTTTGGCGCTCCAACTAGACGGGATCTATGCCCGTTGGTCTCCTAACATAAACGAAGTCGCAACTGGGGGCCCCTTCCTGCCGACCGAACGAACCGAGCATCTCAGAGAGCTCGCAACCAGGACCTGGGCGACCGGGAGCCCGACGAGTCATCCCGGGCTGGGGAGGTCACCAAGCTCAAAAATCCTCACGCAATAAAAAGAGCGCAAAGAGCTCACACCACAAGACGCCAAAACAGCCTCCTGAGACTACTACCCTCCGCCTCTCCCTCCCTGGGCTAGTCCAGGGGAGATAGCCCCCGTCGGGGGGATAACACCGCACAAGTCCGCGCCCTTCCACAGCACTGGGTCTAACTTGAAAAGTACTCAAACGGGAAGACCCTGCGGCCACGCAGGGCGATCAAGCCTCCGAAAAACCACAGGGGGGGAGGGTAGCCAGCTCGGCGCCCCCCCAATACCGCTCTACCAAGACGGCTGGTTCCCAAGATCCTATCTCACCTAGACGCCGCAACACGAAAAACCCGGTCTCGTACCCTGAAGAACCTAGTCCTGCACCACGCGCGCACCTTCGAGTACGGCCCCTCCTTCTGGGTGCCCACCTCCCCCTCATCCGCGCCCTCGCTACGGCCACCTGTTTCCACTCACCACCCCTCAACCCTACATCCTCTTGGTGCTCTCTCTGCCTCTTTCCCTCCCCCCCCGGCTCTCCCCGCCCTTTCCCCGGTCTCCCCTCCCTCCGCCGGTACGGCTCCCCCAGGCAAATAAACCCTCCCTCCCCCATGTCCCCTTGCGCGGCACCCCCCCAAGCCCCATCCCTGATCCCGCCCCCCTCGCAACCTTTCCCCTCAACCTCCCTCTCGACCTCCCTGCCACCCCCACCACCTCAAATCCCCCTTCCGCGCCTCGACACCCTATCCCCTTATCCCCTAAACTCCAGCTCCCGCCGCGTCCGCTTGACCATTAGGTCGTGATGTCCACCGCCTCCGCGCAGCGCAGTGCTCCCCCGACGATTGACAGGATCGGGTGGTGGGGTCCCACTCCGTCCCAGCCCCGCCTTGGGACATTGAGCGCGGTGAAAGAGCGCAAGCGCGCCCAGAAGTCCACTACTGCCCGAGCGCGGGCGTATTCCAGGGGGGTTGCTGCTGCTGTTGCTGTTGCTGCTGCTGTTGCTGCTGCTGTTGCCGTCCCCGGTCCCGCGATGGGCCCCTGCGTTTGATCCTCGAGTACCGGCGCGTTCAGCGGCGGCCCCTCGTGCGGTCTCACTCCGTTGGCCAGGTGGAAGAAGTCCGTTATCCGCCGCTGTTGGGGCCCTTGCGCCTGGATCTGTTGCGCTTGCTCTGGCTGTTCTGTCGCGGGGTTAGCCGCCCTTTCCAGTCGTCTTCCGGCTGCTCGCAGGCAGCACCTGCCTACCTCCATAGCAGACAGGGCCGCCAGGGCGATCACATCCCAGGGGGCCTGCTCGCAGCCGGTCGGGGCTTGGACCAACCACAGCTGCTTCCGGGTGATGCCGCCTGTCGCTGCCTCCTGGGAGGGCTGTATGTGTCGGTCAATTTGCTCCCGGACAGCTTGTGCGACAGGGCACTCCCAGAAGTGGTGCATGCGTGGGGAGCAGTGCTGGTTGCTGGCGTTGCCGAACCCTCCACACCCACAGCGCTCAGGCACCATGCGGGCCAGGTGCGTGTTGCCGGGCAGGGGGATGCCGTCCACGGCGAGCCGCCACAGCGTTTCTTTGTTCTCGTTCTCCCACCGCACCCCCGACCACAAGCGGGCTTGCGTCGCCCTGAAGCGGCTTGTTTCCGCTGAGGAGGAAGGTGCCGTTTCCTGCGGGTCCAACGCTTCTTGCACAAATGCTGCCATCAAGCGTCCCCGTTTCTCCTCGGTGGCCCCGCATTGCAGCTGTGTCGCTAGGCGGACCGTCAGGCGTGTGAGTGGGACGGTTGTTGTGCCGCCCGGTATCTGCCATCCGACCCGCTTTAGGATCATAGCCAACGCCTGAGTGCTGTTGGGGGTGCTTGGAGCCGTCATGTCCCCCGCCGTTGGCATCTCTGGCTGCTGCTGTTGGGGTTGCTGCTCATGCGGCTGCGTCTGTAGCTGTTGCTGCGGCTGTTGCTGCTGTTGCGGCTGCGGCTGATGCTGTGTCTGTAGCTGTGGTTGTGTTTGCAGCTGTTGTGGCTGTACCTGTGGCTGCGGCTGTGGCTGCGGCTGAGGCTGCGGCTGTAGCTGCGGCTGTGGCTGCGGCTGTGGCTGCGGCTGTGGCTGCGGCTGTGGCTGCGGCTGTGGCTGTGACTGCGGCTGTGGCTGCAGCTGTGCCTGCGGCTGGGGTTGCTGTTGCTGTTGGGTTTCCACTGCTCTTGCAGCTTCGAGCCAGGCCGGGTTGATAGCGCCATGTAGCGTCTTAAGGGCTGCCAGGGTCGCTGACCTGTCCCGCGTGGGTGCTGGGGTTGATGGGTCGAGGTGTGTCCTGACCCATTCGGGCCAGGTCGACCTGGGGAGGGAGGCCACTCGAGTATGCACCACTAGGTCCCAGACCCGCACTAGGTCGCCCACCGTTTGCAGTTCCTGCATGA